GATTAGCTGAAACGCTAAACGGGTGAAATAACTTGGGTGTTTAACTCAAGTGATTGGAAAACCTTGATACTGGGTCCATTGATTCAAGGAACTGATTTGGCAACTGTGAGACAGTATTTCAACTAAAAATAAATTCCTCCATGTATAGCTCAGTGTAGATTAGTAAACACTAAAAAAATGCCAACTTGCTTAATCAATTAGACGGGGACTCACAGGCCCGTGACGGTCAATTTTTACCATTGACTAGAACAACTTACAACTGGGGCAACCTTCAGGACGACAGTTTTAAAACATACCTTAATTAATCTTTAGTACTAGAAAGCAAACTCTCACTCAGTTGTTTATTAAATGTTACTTTATATTTGTTCAGATGTTTAAAAGTCTCAAACGTACTTTCGTTACTTATTATTGATAGATCTGTGTCGTAGGTCAGTGCACCATTGAATAGGTTTTGGGTGACTTATAGCCAGTCTGTACTTTTTCTCGTGGGATGCTTCTTGCTCTAATTAAAACTCCGTTGGAGCCCAAAACTAAGCTGATTTACCGTCAGTGCCTGCTCCTTGCGCAAAATCTGTTATTTGCGAGTCATTTTAGCATACTGTTCACGCGCCCAGCTTGGATCAATAATCAAGTGTTCTCTTCTTGTTGGCGTGAGTTCAGACATTTGCGATCAAACTCGCTTTCAACTTTTGAACAAGCGTTACTATGACAAGATTGCAGCAACAACATGGCATTCATGCTGGCTGTTGGCACATTCTGATTGATTGGGCTAAAATTCCATCACACTGCCTACGAACAACCCAGATTTGTCGACTGAGTTCAGGCAGATTCCTACGTGATTGCTAAAAGATCAATAAGGCGGTTCGAGTGGAAAGCCTGAGCAGTGATAGATGGACTGATCTATTTGAACGGAAGTTTGTGAGCACATCTCTCTAAAAACGAACACGTTACTTCTCACGAACCATGGTAAGAGAAGGACGTTTCTTAAGTAATACAGATATTGAGAGAAGTAATCGTGAAAATGCTCGTTTTGGCAAAGAAAACAGCAAAATTGTAGCATCCGGGCAATCAAAATCAGACGCAATAAATGGGTTTGTTTCTGAAACCACGGTCTAAACGGTTGACCTAAATAGGATAAATTTTGGGCCCTCTTTTTGAGCCTTCCACTAATTAACTGTTTGCACCATGATCGGATTTGGTGTATTTAACCGACACTTTAAATAAAATGTATAGCCCAAACCAAGCTCAAAAACCTGCTCAGTCCATAATACAGATAAAGTTTTAGATTTATGTTGCTTCACTTTCTTTTGCGCAGTAGTCATTTCTATGAAGGACGAGGATGCCATCTTCTGCTAATTGGAAGAGCACTCCTTAGTTCGGTTGACCAATCCATAATTACGTCAACCAGGTAAAGACCATTTTAGATTCTTGCTTGTGAGCTTGAGGTTATTAGTGAATAAAGGCAGCACACTCAAAGTTGATGAAGGCTGTTAGACAGCTTACAAGCGGTTTTACGTCCCTTGTGGTCCATGAGTTCCCGAAATTCTATCAAAATTATGTTTTTGTTGAACACAAACTCAACGAAATACGACGATCACACTCACTCGCAAGCAGATTTATTTTTCACAGAAAATGCACCCAGAGTTTTAGACGAACCTCTAGTTTATGAAATTCTTCTTCAATATATTGCGACAACTCGCATACCGTACCGACGTAAATATGAGGTAGACGGTAGGAATTCAGTCAGTTGAGAAAGGAACTCATAAGCAAGTAAATCATATGACGTTTTGGAGATTTTACAAGAAAATCAGCTTGGTGTGTAGAACAATGTATTTGTTGGGGTTTCTGTTATTTTTCGCGGAGATTCTCCTGAACTTGAAGTAGGCGTGATTCATGGCATCAATCGGATTTACGTTCGACTGGGCAGTTTTGGCATATGCAGTTAACACATCTGGTGGGAAAACACCGCGGGTACTTTGTGGACATCCTGTTTGGCAATAACGCCTGCAAATGAAATTATTGTTTATCAGATTTGTATACTGAGTTGTTTGGGACGTCCCGTATGGAGGCCACCTGGTATTGCGGAATCCGTGTGACAGTGCCCCAATGATCCATTTCAATGTATTTCTGACACCATCCTTGTTTTGCAGATAACAATCCTCCAAGACATTTACACCTGCAACATCAGTTCTGAGTTCTGATCAACAGATGTGTAACGTTTAAAATAAAGAGCGAATTAGCCATCCACAGTATCAAGTGAAAGCGATAAGTTTTCAATGGATATCTATTTATTGTGCCCTTCTTTCAAAATATGTTTTTGCGTGAAATGCCAAACAGATTTAGTTAATCTCCACTCAAACGTGAAAATGGCAAAAAGTTGTTGCCTGAACAGTTTGAAGAACGAAAATTTAAAAGCGGTGCGCCGATTCTTTTGACATCCTCTTTCAAACTTTCATGATGCTAAAAACGTCGAAAATGCACGCATTAGAATACACATTTAAGTCATAATCGATTCTTCTAAACAAAATAACTTCAAGCCAGTCAGAAAACTTTTTTCTGTAGACCGGTTGAACTTTTAGTGTACTTTGTTTTCAATCGGATGATTCAAAATAATTCTAGTGTCACACAACAGACGTTATAACACATGATCAACTCAGGTTAGTTTGGCCCTGGAATATCGAAGGAGTCAAGCTCCTCGAACATTTGATGTTCCCAAGGAGGCAAATATTTTAAAAGTTATCAAGAAAGCTTCTAAATGTTCACTTAAATGTTTCATAGAATTAAAAGCCTATAAATGTTCCCTCAAGCAGGTCCAAACAATGTTTTAGATGACATATAAACCTGCTGTGATAGATTAGCCCAAAAGTTATTTTTAAATAATTTAAAGTATGCACAAGTATTTAGTGCGCGTACAAGGCGCTAGAAAGTACACTTTGTACAAACGTACAAATAGAATAAACCAAATATTGTGTAACAAAAGCCGGAAGTTCTATCTTGTTAATCAGTTAAATTTGATAATCATCATGAAAACCTCTACTGATGCAAAGGGCTCAAAGCATTCTTGGTTGAGGAAACCGAACGAAAAGAATGCAGGCGTCAGTTTGAATTCGTAATTTACAGGTTTTCACTCGTATGTGGGCTTCAGCAAAAGATGTATCGGTTGCTTTTTCAGATGGGATAGGGTGATCATTAGATTTCTAGAAAATTCTAGGCGGCCCACAACCGGTTATGCTAAAATTGGTGCTCACTGAGCAAGCATATTCACCGAGTTTCTGTCAACTTTATTTTTTACTCCAACCCAGACTAGAAGCAAATTGCGGAATGCACACTGAGATGTCGTAGTTCTCTTTCCGCAAACAAAAGCTTCAGTTTTTATTACCTACTGACATTTTTCAATGATCTTCAGATATTTCATATCTAGCCAAAGTTCCGACATTGTAATTCTTCAGAAACAGAAGAACCTACTCCTCCGAACTTTTGAAAATATGGCCGATACGTGGCACTTCCTAGAAAATCGATGATGTATGACCTTGATAGAAATCGTTGTTCAGACGTATTTTTGCAATAAAAATGTTGCGTGCTGTTAAGTTACTTATTTTAGGATGCAGGAGCTTTATTGTTCTCAGCCTTATAACAAATTGTTCAGATCGAGCACATGCTGTTTGTGTCGCTGCGATAAAACGAAATCCTGTCACCGAGGTCGTGCGTGCATAAGAATAATCTGAGACTGGTGTTCAACCCGCAGATGCGAGTTCTGTAGAATTCTGAAGATATTCCTCATATTTTTCTCACCGTCGATCTATTTCTGGTCTATTTCAAAAAGACTCAGACATCCAGCTCAATTTGAAAAGTTCGAATTATGATACGCTATAGGGTTTTTAATTACTACATGTATTGTATTGTCTCATATTGGACAGAGTAACCATTTTAACTGGCAACAGAAAGGAGATGCGTCGCAATCGCTGGCGCACACTCTCCATAACATGTACATTTTATTTCGCCATCTGGTTGAAATTTGGGATATCAAAGTAAACAAAAGGGACTGAGAAGATACTACCAATTCTTTACTATTTCGTGGGTACTCAGAATTTTTTTGGCTTTCTACGCATTGATTTTAGCCCGAAAGGGACTGAAACCCCTGATGAATAGGAAGAATGCAAAGACAAATCATTACGGACAGTGGTACTCGCCATCGCCAAGATATGGCTCGAAATTTATACGTTCGGTAATGTGAATGAATAGAATGAAATTCAATACATTTTAGGAGCAGTGAGGCAATCACTGACCTTAGCAAATAAAACATAGTGTAACTAATTGCCTGCATTGGATGTCCCACTAAGTTGCATCATTTATCTACGAAACTCCTTAACATCTGGTTCCTCAACAACAGCCATCTGATGACATCTAAGGTGGCTCAGTGGTTAGAGCGCAAATTCACTAACCGAAAGGTGCGTGGTTCGAACCCGAGGTCCGCATCTCGACATTCCTCGTCTAGGCTTGGGCAACCTGGCAGTATTCCGGCTCTCTAGATTCCTTTGCGTGTCATGGCACTTAGACGCCGAATGTGTGCTACAGCTGAATGTTTAACTGATTGATAAAATCTGGTGACTCTCAGGCTAACAGATGGAAGTCGGTTGGGACAAAGGCCAGCGAACGAGAAGTGGCGTGATTACTTCACGGTGTCATTATACAAAACGTCGTGCGCATCAGAAACAAGGAAATGACTACCATAGCAAGACAGTTTTTTGGAAAACTATATACCCGTGTGAAAATACATGAAGAGTGCAAAGAGGAGAACAAGTGTAAAACTCGGGCGGGGATCTCAAGGTCTCAGTAGCTTTAAAGGATTTGATCTAAAAAAGGAACGTTTGATTTTATCTTGGTCCCTTGCTTTACATTTCGGAAACCGATCAGTATAGTGTATGTTTCCACTAAATAATATCTGCCAACAAGTTCCCAGCCGTTATGACACTATTGTTTTTTTTCGCTGTATAAAATAGGATGTCGCCAAGCATAACACTACCAGCATCACACGCAAGGACTACCCAGAACAATTCCTACGTCGTTTGGCACAGCTCACTTGTGGATCGTTTGCCACTGTGCAGTTTGTTTGTGACCATTCAGCCTGCAGGCATGGATGTCTTGTTTGGGACCTGGGACAGTTTAACTATCCTGAACCTAGAAGATCTAACAACGCTAAAGTTTTTGTCCACATGCTACACGACGATAGCATCATGCAAGTGATTACCAGCCTTTCCGGAAAAACATACCAGGCATTGCCGATGGACCACCAGCAAGTACTTATGAATTATATCAGAATGAATCCATCGGGTGAGTTTTATCAGGTATAGAATTGTCGGTTCTAACTAACTTTTTCCAAGTAATTCTCTAACTGTCCGCAGTTCTTAGAGTAACAAAAGTGGCTTTGAAATTGCGTTTGAAAATGTTTGTCTCCTGGGCTAAACCAACCTCCAAATTGCTGGTAGAATGACCGGCCATGCGCGTACTAGTGATACAAGCGTTGCTATGAAGGGGTTTCTGTTTTCGTATATGGATCAGGGAAAATTGTTTCCTCGACTTCGCTTGCAACAAGGTCTATTCTCTACAATAAAAGAGTAAGTGATGTCAGGGCCAAACGAAGCTTTTCCAGAAGCGTCTGTACCGTAGAGGTTTAGTATCCTCAGGAGGCAACTATATTACAGAATCGAATATTTCGATCATTTCTTCATCGTTTGTTTAGCATTTTGTGTCCGCCTATATCTTCAAGGGACAGCAGACTGTTCCTAAAGATACAAGTTTTGTTTTTAATATTTGGCCACAAATCCCACCTATAGGCAAATAAACCGGCCGTTTTCTAGATACTCATACTGATTACTATTTCTTTACATACACATCTCTATCAGTGAGTTATATATATAGCTGTTGAAGACATCTTCAACCGTCTAATACTTCAAAAGCTTTGCTTTTAATTAGGTCCAGTGTGTTTGACGTTTCTACCTGGTCAAAAATTTATCTTCTTACCGAATTTTGCAGACAGTCAGATAGGATTTTTGGCGTTAGTATATAATCACCCAATACGTTTAGATATAAAAGTAGGCGAGTGAAATGATATTTATGCTTTAAAGTGTCTCAATAATTGACTCTACAGAAGACTTTACTCCGTAAAACACATTAGATTGCACACGGAAACGCTCAAGTTTGTGCCCAAGGAAACGTTTTTCGTAATAAATGTTGTTTCCTGAATTTTATCTGGTAATGCATGATTTCAAACAGAAAAACTATCATATTTTCAGAAGTCATTACGAATTTTTAACGTAACTGTGGTCTGTGTTTGAAGACATCTTCACTTTTCATCGTTGACGTTCTGTACTCTTCATCTTTCTGCAAAACTGAAGATCATTTGGACCAACAAGAGCATTGGGCGAAATATCTGGTCGACCAGCGACTGGTCAACGGTGTCAATCGATATCTGCGCCAGACTGCACGAGAATGTGCACACGATAATTCTTGGTGGTCAGATATGAATTTTACCGGAGTACCAGGCCAATCGATACTGCTTGGAAGAAACGTATTGGCACGTCTGCCAGAGGACGGGCACTTCTACCGTGGAAATATTGTTGAGCTCGTAAGTTTCCCCAAGTATCCTTTCAAATATCGCAACTGCTAAGTAGGAACTATCCCTCAATTATGCAACTGCTTATGTGTGGCGTCGCGATTTATTGAAAACGGTTGCTGCGAGTTTCCATGGCATTGGGCGTCCTGCATTTCCTGAATGTCCGTCAGCTCTGCGAATTAGGTAATTGGATTGATAACGTTCATCCCAATCGAGGAGATAATGTCAGTCCAAGGTTGGGAGAGGTAAATTACTCTTCTTCTCTATACGTTTATATAGTTTAGAAATATGGCGAATGTTCAGTTCATAAATCGCCTGCTCTCCTTATCCTTGGAGAACAGTTAAGAATCCCTTCAGTGACGGTACTGATGAAGGTAGTGTCTGTAAATGGGCCAGATAATTGAAAACGATGTAGGGCCCTCTTTTTATGGCGTAAACTGGAATGTGCACAGTCCCGAGCTTTGACAATAATACTACTTACGAACGGTTTAAAAGTATAGCTTGCTGACATAAATCTCTTTCAACCATCAGGTGGTAAGTATCAAACTAATCCAGTACAAGTCTTCCAGCGATAACAGTAGTAGAACACCTATCTACGGTTTTTGGCCCCCGAGTGGTGGCAATCCACTGCTTTCCTTTGGTACCTAAAACTTTCCCTATGAATTCAAAAGTGAATAAGTAAGGTGGTTGTGTCTTGCTCCTGTGAATACGCTAAAAGCATGCGTTTGACAATGATCGCTACTAACAGCCCAGATGCATCAACGGGAATTGTGGTACTGGTACCGAGACTCACATAAGTGCCCTAGAATATTGCCTAATAGAGATGTTTAAAGGTCGGCAATTAGAGATTCACTGGACATATTCATGAAGACTGGAAACCTAGAGTTTCTGGTTTTTAGTATTTTGAAGAGCTACATCAAACTTATAACCAGCAAGCAAGGGGAACTTTTGAGAAAAATCAAACTCTACAGTAGTAAATGATTAAGACGATTCTAGTGACCTTCTGAAAGGCACTTGAACTACGGTCACGATGATCAAGTTTTTTTGAAACGCCATCCCTACCGAAGTCTTCATCATTTACTGAGTATGTTTGACGAAAACGTGCGTTAATTGGTGCCTCTCTCTCTGAAGAAGTGGGCATTAGTCGGGTTCCCTTACGTAATTCAAGAAAGTGTACGTCAGTGGCCCTGTTGTTGCCAGGACCGTCCAATGTAATGCAATAGACGGGAAGTGTACACCAGAAAAGTTACTATGGTTATAGATGCAGTTTAGTTTTCATAACTGTGTAAACTGCTTTGGTCACGGAACTTCCCCAGTAGTCCAACAATATTCTTGCGGTTGTGCGTTTCAAATGTCCTTTCAGTGCTGCTGGCTGCCAGAATGAGCACCACAATAGCGCTACACCTGGCCTTGCAGCCATCATAAGCTTCGAGGCATTTACAGTGCATACAAACATCAATGACAAATATCGTACCACCTAAGATTTCTACAGACCGATATGTATTTTATGAAATGCTATTGAGGTCAGACGGTTTATTTGATTTTTTCTGCCTCATTTTAACCGGAATGGTAGGAGCATGCCACAAACATTCAAGGCAGCTCTACAGAGAAATTATGAGTTCGATTGTTGACCTGTTATCTGACCTTGACAGTCCGATAACCGACTTCCCCTCGCCAAATGAGGTGGCGTCGTCATTGCTGGATCCAGTGCTTATGTAGTTTCTAAACAGTATGCAATAACTTTAAAGTGACTGGTTGGTCCTTTGATGGATTTTGCATAATTTGGTTGGTAAGTTCGCTAGGAATATTGGTTGCTTTGTGACCACTTTTCCTTCTATCTAATTACTTCATTGGTAGCCTTTGAGTAGATAGTTCCCTTTCTCCGTTTTGACTCGATGGTTTCCTTCTTTCCTTGTGGTGTGATTTCGTTCATCTTGATTGACCGATTGGATGGTTTGATATAAACATATTTTCTCCTGCGGGAATTGTGCGAGATTGTGTTATGTCTTCTTTAATGCTCTACTAAGTACTTACATCTGAGTTATACTCAGCATGGACAGCAATCAAGGGTCAAGCAGTAACAGTCCCAAGTCGTAGTTACGTGGTTCCACATGCTAATTGGCAGTTGTTAAAACATTAGGCTCCCCATATTGTTGAACATGGTATGTTCCTGTCAGTTTTACGTGCTGCATGCAAGATAACGTCAGTATAAAAACAGTGAGCACCATATATGTGGACAGAGTTGATCAAGTGTTTTTCAAAACGAATTGAAAGCTAAATTCTCTGGAAGAATATGAAGATATTCAGAAGTGTACCCTAATTTCTGGATAGAAATATGATACGGAAGGTGATGTACATTAGCATATAATGAGTCGACCATAAAGTACTGTTCACTTTCCATCTGGAGATCGGGCGTGACTGGTGTTTGTTCCCGAAATTTCCACAACTCAGCAGTACGACAAAAATACCTCTGGTTGACTACATTTCTTTTGACGCACAGGGTCTAATCGCAGAGTAGGAGTAACGGGGAATCACGAATGGAAGTTAAGCGATATCCACCAATAGTAGAAATCGCATTCTGTGTCCCAGATCGCTTGGTTTGCCACTGGAAGGATAAGGGATGAGAAGGAAGAGCCAACGGACTGTGCGTCCACATTCGAAGACATATAGAGTATCTCTGTCCATTTTTATATATTACAGTGGTGGCAAAAATATCATTAATGTAGCAGTGTCTTGTTCTGCACTGTTTTCTAAATACGTCATTGCCCGACTCCTATACACACTGTCATCATCGCAAATGTTTCTCAATACCGTTGGTTTGTTTGGGTTTAGCTGTTGATCAGGCGATATTTGATCTGTTTTTCGAGCCCGACAAGTGGCTTATCCAGTGACAATCATCTGCAGACTGATTATCAATAGTGACAAGACTTTTTTCTTGAAAGAACATTACTCATAAGGTTGCCGAAAACCACTGAGTCGGTTTCACCCTTGATGGGACTCACCAGGTAGGGGCCTTCACCGAGTTCCGTCAGCCTTATATTCTACAAACATCCAAATCTTATGCATAGAGGATCGAGATAAACAAGGCCAAAAACTAGATGAAACAACGAAAAGTCACACAGTTCTTGAGCTTTAAACATGACACACGACCTAGGTAAAATTGTTATCAGGGTTTTGGTGGATTTAGATCAGTCTCATTCTCACACATCCGAAACCATGCTCCTTTGGCAGTCCAGTCCAAGGTTAATTCCTTATTTTATCATTGTCTTACTGCGATAAAAGTGTCCAGCTAAGCTTACCAACTACAGTTGTCCATCATCATCATCATCATCATCGTCATCAGCATCATCATCATCATCATCGTCATCATCATCATCAGCTACAGCAGTGAGGCCGCGCATATGTTTTAAAGAGGTTAAAGATGCCAGTAGCGTTCACTGATGATCTGTGGAAATAGGAATGGATAATTGCGCGCCGGGGGCGGTAGTTCATATAATTGACGAATTCGTCCAGGAATGACAGTAAACGTTTCATCAGGAGGATCCAGAGGTGAGGCTGTTCATTGAAGGCAACAATCTGGATGCTTGTCCACCATTCAGTTCGCAACTAGAAGGTATCTGTAAATGACTCTAACCATTGATGTGCCCATTTTAAGGGTCTCCATCCCCAAAAAACGCAGCCACGATATTAACTCATAGTAGGTCTTACATTTCATGGCCACGTCACTGACTGATCTCCCCTGACTAGCTTGCATCTTTCTTGTGGTTATGAAAAAGGGGTTCCTTCGTTGATTGAAAGAAGAAAAGAAAAGTGATTGATTGATTCACTGGATAGTTGACCAAGCCAGCGAAATCTATGCAGTGCGATCAGGTCATCTGTCATGGACAATGGATAATGATAAAGTGCACAAATGATTGTTCATCGCAATATGGGCACGAGAAATATGCTGATCATACAAGCACCCGAGTGAAATGTGTTAAGCAATCACAGAGTAACAAACAGAGGTTTCACCGATCCTAGATAGGCGACCTAATCAGTGAGACATCTAAGTACTCGTTACGACCCGGGTGCTGAAAAAAGCCCTCTACTTGATAACTGTAAAGGCATTACCGGATGTTTTTACCTTTGGCAGACACCGAGGAATTCCAGCTGTTCGTGATCAAAGACTCGATTTCGAAAAGGTCGCCAAATTCACATGCATAAATTTCGTTTATCTGTTTGTTGAAAACAGCAAATTAGTTGAAAAATGTTTCAACCGATTGAGAAAATATTGTCGTTGCATCACTGCATTGTCAAGTGGTAATTAAATGTCTCCTATCCTTCTAGGTGTCGAAAATCAGAAGTAAACGACTGTGACATGTTGGAGCCAATTACTCGCTCGGTATCCGCTTTGAACCTCAAGGCGACCAACCATCAACGTGAAGTTTTCGTTTCAGAAATATTGCAGCTTAGAATAGTTTAAATGCAAAAACAATTCACACGTAGGAGGGTCCTATTCCATTCATCCCTGAATCTCAGCCATGCAATGGCAAAAGATGTATTACAATATACACGGCTCACTTTTTCTCCTGTAGGCGTTCCATAATTTCAAGTAGAGGGAAAAATTTCGGGTACCTTGAGAATACTACTTTTGTCGTTTTTAACCACAGACATGAAGTTTGCATTGACCTGACTGGGATTTGAGCAGTAATGTGAGTTCGGCAAATGTATTCATTTGCATAGCAATTTGGTTTTCATCGGACACTCACCTCAAGCCCAGCTAAATCTCTCGTTTGCGACGTTCTCCAACCAAATGTGTTGCCCAAAGGCCGAACCACGTTTCAGTTGGTACGATATTCGAGGCGTCGCAGTATATTTTCCCAAAGGCAGCTACTTACAAGCTTGCTGAAATCTCCTCGTCAGCTCATGATTTGAGTTAATCGGGTAAGCACAGTCCCTGAGATTTCATCCTTTTCTGCCACTTGAACCCAAATTTCACAACATTGAATAGATCAACTCCTTTCTCACGGGAGACTTACCTGAAACGCAGCTGAATTTACTGTTTATCTCATTGAACCTCATGAACAGCTTCCTTAATGAAAGCAAAGTGCGTTGTTCATAGGTATTTCGTGGTTGAAATTTCCGCCAAAAATGACCTGAAGGTCCTCAAATTCGGTTTGTTCGTCCTAGTTTTGTTTCATAAAATACAACTATTATTTCCAAGTGGAAGTTGAGTGAATTTCACTCACAAACATCTTGATTTGACATTCCCATGATCTATCTAGAAGGGCAGTTTCATATGGCACATGGCCCTTATTCGATTTGGGCCGTTCCGTACAACCGATCGCTTACCGCGATGTCGGAGTGGCACTGGAAAGTCATGCTGCAACAGTTATCGCTACGAGTCTGTACCAATGTCAGAACTGATTGACTTGGACTATGCACTTCGACACCCTATCCGAACGGGAGACCGAGTACTCGTTCCAAACTTGTGGCCCAAACCCCGGTGTGCTTCGCATCAGAAGGAGGCTTGCCCTCGAATAGCCCACATGCGTTATCTACCAGCCACGGTGGTTGACGGCTTCGAGGATCGGAGTGTGTTCCGTGAGTTTCTGGCTGGTGTCTAAGTGTATAACGAAGTCCTAGAGAACACTCACACGTGACTTACTACGTCCTCTTTTATGATGGCCTTATTAATGCCGTATTGATGCTATGTTAGTGTAAATTCCAAAGCGTAAGTTTCACTAAGAGTTGGAATGTGCAACTTCACTGGACTTGCATAAACTTTGTCTAAAGAACGACTGTACGGAATGTCTGCATTCGGAGCTTTCGGTTATAGAAGGAAACAAAGAAGCATAGTAAAAAGTTTTCCTTCAACACATTAATTACCTGCATGGGTTTTTTCAAAAGATTGTGATAAGATATCAGATGACTAGCATAAATGTAAATGTGAACAAGAATTTCTACACGAGAGTGAAGAACTGCCATCTAAAGGTGTCCAAGTACGAGTTTATTCCTATCGGTTAGGTGGGATTAGTCGAAGTGGAAGGACTGATAGGCGAAATGGGCATCAGTGCATTCAGTTGACGATTGTGACGACACAATGAGGGTTGACGTAACGTAACAGCGAACGCTGCTGCATCGGATGATTAGTGGCACTCGACAAGTGACGCTGAACGGTCCGGCCAAACCGACACAGTGAACCGTATGGATCGGATGAGTCGCAACTGTGTTTGTCACGTATGTGAATTTTCAGGATCCATTACGCAATTACAAACGTTTAGTCATTCACTGAATAGGTATCCAAGTTCTATGATTCAATTAGTTTGCATCGAATTCTCAAACATGAGAAGCCAAAATGAAAGCACTATCCCTGACCGGTACCTTATCTTCGATATTGTTTTTGTGTAAGCAGTTGTCACTAAAGTGAGTGGAAGGCTGCAAGGTTTGTTATCTTTTGATCATTCTGGAAGTTGTATAATCTTTAAAAGGCAGTTTGACCTAGATAAACCTGACAGACTTCCTCGCCTTACAGCAGTGCTTGTTTGCTTTAGATGTCCCCAAATGTATAACTGTTTTTTTCAAGGACGGACCTTAGTCCTCTCGGAGGGTTATTGTACGAAGCTTCAAACTTACTTTTTCACCGTAGGACATTTCAACACGCAAACTGCGCACACCTAACAATAACTGTCCAGCAAATCAACGGTTAGCACTTTTCAAATGAGAGAGCTGTCCGTTTTGTACGGTATGTTAGTATATACCATTCATTAACTGTTTTCCCTAGACCCAGATAGATATTGCGGCCAAACAGTGTCGATGATTACAGTAGCCCTTGCGAGCAATAAGTATCGGCTCGGTTGTCATCCAGTTGAACCAGGTCTAGCCGTGTGGATACCAAACACAACTTACGAACGACTCATTTTGGAGCAGTTGCTTCCAGCTTCAGAACGAAAATGGTTGCGAACCCACACATTCACTCCCTATGTATACCCAGAACAGTCAGCACCCGGTTATCCGGCAGATGGTCAACAAAAAAAGACATCCGACCGGAAGGCTATTCCCTATGAGACGCAGCTAGTGAAATACTTGCAGTTGCACTACAAACCCATTTGTCAGGTAGGTTGGGTTGTTTACTGGCACATTATAAACGTACTTTTTGTTGCACCTTTGCTTAGAACTGTGTTTTCACATTTACTTCCTTCTCAGTCTATCTAGCGACAGGTAAGGAAAGTATCCATCTAGAGATTTCATGCCCTGAATATTCCAATCATGCAAGCCTATCTTTTGGAATGGATATCGTGCTTTGATAGATCTTCAGTGCTTTAAAAGCCAATGAAGAAATTTTATCGGTCATAAAAAATTTTAACGGTGTAATAATTCATGTAAGATTAGGTCATGTGGTTGTCTCAGGCACTAAAAACAGACATTAGAAAGTGTTGTAAGCAGATATTTTGTATTTTAGTAACGTCAAACGTCAACCAGGTAAAACTGTTTCCTTGTGTGAAAGCCCCTGATGAATAATTTCGGAAAACTGAACGAAGACTACTCACGAAACGACAAACTGTGTTTCTCTGGCATGAATGAAATAACCACGGTAATTGCAATAGGGGCTTTGTCGTGTAAGTGAAGTAAATCTAAGCTGCAAAGCTGAGAGTTGAACAGCTTTTTCATGTTTATTGGGAATTGTCAGCTGTGTTTGTCTGGCAAAACGCAGAAAGTTTCGAACCAACAACCTCCCTGGTAGTAGACTAAATACTTAACTTTTCAGCCACGGACGTTGTTCCGCACGTAAACAACTCTTACTTCGAGAAAATTTATCGTCATCTTTAATGTCTGAGGAATGAGCAGAGCTTATCCTGTTTAAATGTGACTTATTTCAACGGCTGATCAACGCCCATGACTGGAAGCTTCAGTGTTAAGTCACTCACCGCGAGATCGAGATTTTTGAACCCCTTGGAGTTTTGTTAGATAAATATTGCTGACAATTCAAAGTAGAGATAAAACACCTGTACGTTACTTCTCGGTTTCTCTGGAACCTGATAGGCCATAAAGAGGGTGCACTGTCATCTGCTGAATGCTTGGAAACTGCTGAAACCTGCCATTTATTGTGGGGAAGCTGAATGTGGAGAGTTCAAGTAAATTAGTCACTTGAGATCAATTGAGTATATCACTCATTTGAGATACCAAATCGTAGCAAACTTCTGTAAGGCGGATTCGGGGCAGCGGCTGCAAATTTTCACTAAAATAAAACCAGGCAATGATGAGGACTAGTGAACAAACGGTTGTAGTACTAATCAGAAGAAACTTAATCCGGTTATCACATACATGTTTTAAGGCTTTTAACTGAAATTTCCCCGCACGACTTAGGGGTTCGTCGAGTGTGCTAGCGAAAATATTTTTCCACGCTCCACCGTTATCACAAGCAAACGCTCAAACGAACTCACTTTATCTGCCCTGTCAGCGTAGTTAGCCGGTATTTTGTTTTCTGTCTCTGTTTAAAATTGTTCTGTTCACGTAGATAAAGCTTCTTTTATTTTACTTTAGTCCACTCCTTATGTTCAAAAAGTGTGTTTATAATATTGTAACAATTTTTCCAATATGCCATGAAAGCGCGTAATCGAAGGTTGCTTAGGCAGTCAACCGTCCAACGTTTTATTCTCGTTCACATCTTACGAAACCGCTCATGGCAAAAGTGGCAAAAGCGTTGGTGCCATGATATAATGGCTGATAAATCTTCCGTCTTTGACTAAAGATTTCCGTGTGATGGCACAACACAATATATGCTATGTGAATATATAATATATAATTAAGCTTCAAACTTCCTGGCGTGAGGGCATGCGATGATCCCTTCAAAAGCTTACAAGCACGTCTGACCAGGATACCTACTCTTTCTATTCGTGTTTGCCTTCATGGTAAAAGAGATGATGGGAAGGTCCCTGGAAGGTCTTCGAAACTCATGTGTTCAAATAGGTGCTGTGGAAGGACTTGTCAATCTGAAATACGCAGACTACATTGTTCGCTACTTGAAGAAGAGAAAAGGTCAGATGTTTTTGGATGAACTGTCCAAATCCATCTTGTCCTGAGGTATGCGCTCTGCACTCACAAATCGTATGGTCACGCTTCTGGGCATGCAGACAACCAACATGCCACTTACAATCCAAAAAGTGGTAATCGGGTTCGCAGAGCTTCTTAAGCATCTCTGAAGACGTATTGAGTCCTATTTTAGTGTGACAAATGAGGTAAATGAATAAATCTCCAAGGCTCTAGTCAAGTTTGCTAATTTGATACACTTAAGGCGTCAAAGTGCTCTATCCCTGACTATCAAGGGACGTGTTTATCAGGCTACAGCGCCGGCTGTTTTATTGTATGGCTGTGAGACTTGGTCTGTTAAAGCAGTGAAACTGAGACGTCTACAGGTTTTCGACAACCGTTATCTCAGTACCATATTTTGCATAAGTTGGTGCCGGTAAATCCCTGACACTGTTTGAAAACAAGCGTCCTGGTGTAGGCCGGGGGCTTCCATCAGAGAGTACGCCCAGCCCCAGAGGTTGTGCTGGTTAGGTCATGTGTTACGCATACCAGATCATCGTTTTCCGAAGAGGATACTTGTTTTGTGCCCACTTCAGTGTGAGACGAGCGGAGGGGTGGTCATTCTTTAGCGTGAATGATACTACAAAACTTTGGGTGTTGTTAATGCACCCCGCCTTCCAGGATGTGGTCCGCGTGATTCCTGTTGTGCCCTGTTGAATACGCTGCAAGATTTGACTTTTAATCGATGTCAATGGCTTTAATGTTTTCAGTCTCCATCCAAATTGCTCGAATGAGTAGTTGGTGCTGTAAGTAACTCCGAATGATTGTGCTATGCTAGCAATAATTCTTTCTTTACAAATTATTCTTGTATACGCAATCGGACTTTTACATAAACTGTGGTTGTGCGTCACTGTCAAACACTATGCTAACATAAACGTCGAAACATCACAAATAAGTGAACTTATCAACACCTAAGACGCGTAGTGTTATTCAACTGTATGAAGAAGTATTTCATGCTGTAACCGTAGACTGAACTCCAACTGGAGTTGAATAAATTAGTCAATCTGGCATAAGTTTAAGATATCAAATTAATGAACTAATAAGATACCGACATTCCAAATAGAAAACCTTGCCTTGTGAAAGAATATCTCCCAATTTGCGGTTGCCTTATTCATTGCTGTGAAGCTCATTTTACGTTTTTGTGGTAAACTTGCAACCCACCATAACTTTTGACAATTTTTTCAGAAGTACTGATTATTTGTATTTTTTGTTGTTGTAGATAATTCCATTGTCCTTTTATGTCACTGCTGGTATAACGATATTGTATAGCTAAGGAACTAATACAACATATTTCACCCAAAAACTTCTCAATTGTGTTTAAATTTACTGACATGAAGACGGGTGATCTTAGCTGAGCAATGCTACACCAAGACACACTCGATTACGCTTTCTTGACTATTAATTAAATTTGTCTGTGACTAGTTTTTAGTAAAGACGATAGCCACCGCTGACTTATTCACTGAAGACTTGGCGAATTGCCCCACAGGAACTGACCAACAGCGGGGGAATCTCAAGTGGGTCTGTTCCATTTTGGACACAAGTTCCGGTAGTGATATTTGAAAAGGGCTGTCATCTTACCAGTGTCCGAGAGAAACTGTTGGATAGAATAAACACTGACTCCCAAAGTAATTGCAAGTCATTCTGAGATATGCATCATCCAAGATCCTTGGAAACGGGTAACTCATGTGAAGACATAAACTAGAAAACTGAAAGCAACCAGAATCACCACGATGGGCTCTGACCATCAACATGCTGGAGTACTTTCTTCTGGATAAGACGGATACCGGAAACTATTGTACAAAACCAGTAACTGATAACAAAAGTTTAAAGTGCTCTGTTCCCTTTATAAGACACAGAACTTTGGTGTCGATATCCCGATGGAAATCACTATAGCCTATTGTAAACTGGACGTCATCGTCCTCCAGTCCGCTGCAGGAGTGTGTGCATCAACACACTACACAGCGTTGTCGATTATCTGTCTTCCAGCAACCTCAGACAGTTGGCCTTTGTAACATTGATCGTTTAGCTGTGAATACAACATACATCCAGATGACTGTTTCTATCAACTCATTTTCATAAACTTAGGGCAAAGTGAAGTTATTTGGAGGTGGGTCCGGTCAGAAACGTCGTTTCTTGGGGGTAACCAAGTTGCTGTGAGCTTTCCACTCAGTCACTGCATTGGCAGTGCTGCTGGCACATTTAAGTGGACTTTGAATTTTGAGTGTTTGTTTGACCTTCAATCATGAACAATATTCCAAAATATTGCGCTGGCCTCGTGGATTCATTTGAAGCTCATTATAAGTGTTCCATTTTTCTTGAGTTTGACATACAGAAAGATGGAAGTTGTCTTGTTTCTTTAGAGCACTCATACAAGAAGGAATAGAAATTGCGTAACCTTTGATGGTGTTAATAAGTGACCGGAAGCACTGAAAGCCAAAAGGTCAGTAAGCTGTGTCCTTCCACGTGAGCAGATTGAACTTGGTGTAAGGTTCATCTCTGAAAATAGGGTTGAATATGTCTTTTGCGCGAAATCACTCCCTTGATAGCTCCACAGAGCCTAGAGCCGGTGTTCAAGTTACTAACCCACATGAGACGCGTATCTATCCCACATGTTTGTCAACGTGACCAAACATATTTTGCACAGAAGTGCACTCAGGTGGACAGAACCGCATAAATAAATCCTCAGGTGTTCCGGTTCAAGTGGTTTGCCGCTATGCGCTTTGTATTATAAAAAAAAGTCAAAGTTTTTGGCAAGTGAAATTGCGATATGGCTTCTATTTCTCGTAAGAATTACAGTGGATTGTTTGGGCTCAAGGTCTCTTAAATTTTTGAGTTCATCCAGCTGCGAGCATCATTCTGACCAGTAGGATGTCAGTCCGACACAGATATGCTGTCATCCGTTCGCATAACAACAGGTGCACATAGAGAAGACCCTCAAAAAAAGTACCTCCGGACAACGACTATCCGCCTACATAGTCGAGGCGGAATTTTCAGCCAGACAAAGGTAACACAAGATCTTACACTCAAAAAGTGTGTATCCTAAATGAGAGGCAAAAATCTTCCTTCTCTATTCCTCCAAACAAGTGGCTAGTTGATGTTTTGTTCTTGCTTTACCATGTGTTGATCATTTATTTGTCCTCAAGTTAGTCCTTTGTTGTCTCACCTTAGCTTGAATAGAGTGGTTAGGCATACACGATTCATTCCGTGTTCACCAACGCGAAGCTCCTTCCACAACCATGGTAACACTGTAAACAGTCGATAGGTTTCTAATTATTCCGTGTTTTTCCACTGATGTTTTTCCACTCGTTTCTGGCATCCATGTGTTCACATGAGAAACCCTGTAGATGTATTGTCCATTCGCTTAAGATAAATAGAAATCCAGAGATTGTTGCATATGTGAGCCTTCTACTGGCCAGTGTGGACTATTTTCTCAAAATATGATTAGGGAGACGGTAGGAGAACTAGCAAAATGCACTTGACAATTGCAGTGCTCCTCACTCAGGTTTGTCCTTTCATCACAGTCGGTTTTTCGGATTTCGTTATATATGTGGTTGTTCAAGTGTACCTTTGCCCTCAGTTTACAGGAACCTTGCTCAAAATCCAAGAACTGCTCACCTAATAAGGATATCAATCCACTACATACTTCATCTTCTCCAGCTGACTGATGCTTTTATTACAGTAAAAGGCGGGGTGATTTTTCGGTCCTGTTGGCGTTCCATTTGGTACCGATTCCGCACGCAGCAACATCTTAAATTTACCTAATGTAGTCTTGCTTCTCTTTGAAAGTGAGGAGTAATAAATGTACCGTCTGTGTGATAAGCATTTAGACAAACAGCACCTGATGAAGTACCGTTTGTTTACAGCCATCCATTCTACATAGCTGGTGTTAGGACAGTTGGTTTTGAGACTGAATACCGTGTATTTTTTTAATTAGGAGTTTTGTCCAGTGGGTGAAGGAAATCTATGCTGAAAAGCCAAAAAGCACTGTATAGCCGTTTTGTCTTTATTGGAACTATTCAACAGTAGTATAGTTGTTTTGTCTTTATTGGAACTATTCAACAGTGTGCGCCTTACGAAGCATAGAGAATTTCAAACCCGCAACCTTCGGATCAGTGTGACCATTTTACCATTCGTCGATGAGCGGCTGATCAGGATTGTGATTAGTTCTTATTTAGAGATGGCTGAGTGCCAATAAACTTTCAGTAACGTAAACTACACCAAATGGCCATATGTTGTATGGCTCCTTGAGTGACGGGTTCTCAGAAGTAGGTTCCGCTCCTATTGTGATATTATTCCTCCTCTGAGCCATTTATCGAATGGTCGTGACTTGAGGATATTTGGTGATCTCCAAAAAAAATTTAGTTGGTGGATTTCTGGTGTAGATTATTAAAAATACTGGTTAGCCTCAGAAATTATTGCAATAAATTTAATGTTCTGCGACACTTTCCCGTTATTTGTTTGGCTCAAAGGTTACATGTTTTCCTACTAATATTAGTGCAATGAGTATTCAGGGAGGAGTTTTCTTCTAAATTTTCTGACTTTACTGCTATAAAATCATATGAATTCACACTTCGTTCCTTCCATCAACAAGGGGTATCTCATTATGGAAGAAAAGTCGTTAAGAGGCGACACAGAATAGTGCTCAAAAAAGCACCAAAACAGCTATAAATTCTTGTATCCATTAAGCGACATGAACTTTCATGGATATATTTTTGCGTAAAAGACAAAAACTTAACTTAACTCCACCGCAAAAAGCACACACTAGTCCGAATTGTGCCGCGTTGTTCCTTTTGTCTGCGTGACACATCAAGTCATCTCTGAGTCAGGTAAACAGAAATTTAAACTGAATTGTTTCCCTCTGTTGAAGACATTTTTAAGTGTGCAATCTTATTGGCCATAATTTAGGTGTACAACAAAAGACCAATTTTATTGAGACGATAGTTGTATTCACGTAAACTCACAGTATCTTACTATTTAGGTTAGTAGCCTTGTTTGATTCCTGGCAATGACTTGCCTCGTATCAACCGAAGGAGAAATTCGTTCTGCAGGCATGCGTCTTCAACCAGTGCATCGTCACTATTGGTACCATTCTACTTGATCACTCAGCTCTGTCAATTTCTAGTAAGAAATCTCTTTACCTGAACCCCGACAGCTTTTCATGGACCATAAATACATTTTACTTCACTCTATATTTGTCATGATCAGCTAACAATGTCACAGTGCGTCTGATGTGTAAGTGCGTTTTATCACTGAAGTTTTGCAGTAACCCTCCAGACAACTCCATTGGTCAAGAAAAACACTTTTGTATCTGGAGTATTATTTTAACTAACACATTTGATTAACATTATGTATCATTGCAGTTAATACCCGACCAATTCCACAAACTGCATCAAGTCAGTTTTTCGCTGTTCACGCTATGTATTTAATATTTAGGGTTGAAACAAGAACTCTGATTGATGAAAACTCGGAAACTGCGCCTTGCTTGCTAGCCCCAAATAAGGCAAGACCATTAGTACGCAATCAAAATATTTCCAGCAAACTTGGAAGTAGTTTTGGACTTACAGATATCTTATTGTTTGTACGACCTCAGCTAACGGTCTAAGTCAGCAACAATGGCTAACGCAATCATTAACCCGACTGAATTTGAGGCGGCCAGTTTGGTTTCCGACAGTTCTTCCACAACTTCTTGTCAGCTGTGTGGAAGTTTGTTATGAAACCTGAAGACCTACACTAGTTTAGAACATACATATCCCATCTTGATGACTTTGGTTCCATCAGATGTCATGTTGTTTTTTTGAGGGATAGCATACACTAACTTAGCTTCAAGCGGTCTATTTCCGCAGCCAACGTGATATTTCCGTAACCCCATTAGGTTTCGTCTCCCTGCTGTAAACTTTCAGCAAATACCACATGAATATGTACATTGCATTAAGAGCTAAATTCGTATATTTACTGATATCACTGTTGACATCTACGTTTTACTTTTGTTGTATAGTATGGCATTAGTATAGTATAGTATAGTATAGCATAGCACAGTATAGTATAGCATAGTATAGTATAGTATAATGAAACCTACTTGAGACAAAGAAACATCACAACCATTGCGAATGAGAGCGAACAGATCGATGCGTACTTATCGATGTCTACCTTACCTGGCAATCGACTCTCCCAAACTCAGATCACGGTGCGCTATTCAACAAAAACGATTAATTGCATTTCACCACATAAGGTCATACTGAAGTCAAACTCAGCAGGGTTTAAAGCAAATCGCCATAATCTGCATTCTCAAGCGCAAAAATCGTGCCACAAATCCTTCGTGCAGGTGATCTATTCACTCCCGAAATTAATCGCTAACCGTTAATTGCACTAGGCGTATATCTGTCACAGATTGTAAAAGGATTCAGCAAATAAGTTTTCATGAAGCAGAACCTGCATGGGAAGGAAATTTATGGACGCAGACTATTGATCAAATCACCCCATCAACAAAGCTAGTCGACATGACAGGTTGTGCCACGGATTATGAATTGAATGATGATGAAGATTTATGGGTTGTTGGTACAACAAAGCAAGACATGAATGAAATGCATCGACCAGATAAACAAATTTTGTGATGATGTGGCAAAATAACTACGTTACATTTCCCCTTCTTTTGAAAAAAAATTGGCCTAAACTCATATGATCTTCATATCAGGGTCTATGAAAAACCATGCAAGTACAGGGTTACTTTTGAGCACATACATAGGCTAGTTAAATAAGCATTTTCCTGTTTGGCAGCTTTAAATTATCTACGTTGCATGAACGTTTCCAGATGGTGTTGAAGGTCACCAAACCAAAGGTATATTTGGTGTAATTTCCAGAATACCTGGATTTCTATATTTACCATTTTCATGCTCTACCAGAACCTCGTTAGGACACAAAAACTGGGTAGTATAAGGATGTTTGAAGATACTTGATCAGTATTTGATCAATATATGACCACGTAACGTGGTTTCCTTGAATGAACCATGGATAGTGCCATATCATATCCAGGTACGAGTTGATCACACTTTTGCTCATTCACTGATGGTCGAAGTGCTAAGTGGTCAAACTGGTAGCCTGGAAATTGCGAGCTCCATTCTCTCTGTAGTTTCATAAGATAGGCATTGCTGATGGTTCCCAAAAAGCATGGAACAACTATACAGTGCTTCTCGGTTCAGTCCGCAGGATGAACTTTACATTACAAATATCTGCAGACATTTGCAAAGTGATTTCCACTGTGCTGATCCATACCAAATGAGTTCAACTGACTGAGATATCGATGGGATTTGTTTTCTCGAAGACATAATTTCATCAAGTTTTACAGAAATGAACTTAGGTGATCTTCATCAAATAAGGATTTTATTCTTTACGTTCAATGAAACAGGTCAGAAAGACGGAAACTATTGGAGAACTTTTTCATCTCTGTACAAACAATGCGCCTTTCACAAAGTTTTAGCCAGGACCTTTCTGACGAAAACTATTACTACCGAAGTAGTGGTAGTCGCAGAGAATTCTTTTAGCGAAATTACTCCAATAAATTTTGATGGGTAGAAGTGCAGCTAGAAAATTATTTCTGGTGACACCAGGCCAGTTTTAATGATTTTCGTCTTTTCCATCTTTGATTCTTCCTAGAAAGTGAACAAACTAGGCTCCATGCGGATCTTTTTTCCTCCGAAAATTTTGTGGTGACTCTCTGGTGTGGCGAAAATCCGATTAGTAGTAGATCAGCTTCAATGAAGAGGTAAAATGTCTGAGCGTTAGCCGCACAGTTCTTACATAAGCGTTGCTATTTCGGTAATAAAAATTTGGAATATTGGGTCGAATATCAATTTAGTCAAGGTAGAGAGTAAACGTATGCCTGTTTGTGGTGATGCATTAATTTGAAACATCGTGTCCTTGACCCCAACTGTCCCGGAAGTACACTAGGAAGCATAGGAGCCAGTGTGAGGTGATAAGGAGAGGGATGTTTAATGAAGCAGATGATAAATCACCCAAGGAATGCCTCTAGTAGTGCGAGATAAGGTGTTCGGACCGAGTTTAGGCATTCCAAGTTACTGCCTGTCGAGATCCGCGCTTTTTTCGTGCCTAATTTTGAGGTTGACAGAAGTTGGCATGTCAGAATGGAATGAAGTATGTTACAGAAATATCTTTGTAATGTACTATTCATAAGGTTGCTGAAAATCCATCGACAGCCCACGACCGGTTTCGCCCTTCTTGAGGCTCATCAGGTAGGCGCAGTCCCCGGGTTTCCGTCAAACGTATGTTCTACTTGAAACCAAATTGCACGAAATTAGCGAATATACACTCATAAACCGTCGTGGGCTGTCGATGGATTTCCAGCAACATTATGAGTAGTACATTACAAAGATATACATGTATCGCGATATCTCGAATATCGTAGCGACTGAAACATGAGATGGCCTCGTGCAGCACATTCAGTTGCCTGAGAACATCATAAAAAAACGAGAGTTTCAGCTGGATTTCAGGTGAGTCTCTCGAAAGAACCAAATTAGTTTGCGAATGAGTGTATATTCGCTATGTTACAGAAAGTTTTGGTAGCTCTGGTGCTGTTTGACTTCAAGGACGGGGTCCACGTAACCCTGTCTACACTTAACCGGAGACGTAGAACGATATGTCAAACAACCGATGTCAGTAACGCTTACGCTGTCAGTTTCTGTTCAGGTTGCCTGACTGAGTGTTGGACGTGTTTGCTCGTCTGATGTCTGGTGTAGGCTACACCTAGGTCTCTCGTTACTCGCCAATATCTATTTCCTATTATAAGACTTTATTCAAATAAACTGACGTGGCTGTACGGTAGTGAAGCACCAGTGCCCTCATCTCGTGTTGTTGTGACTGGTTGTGACATACAAATAGTTTACTATCTTCAGTCGCAGACGTCAATCATGTAAGACTATGTAGCTTGACAATAAGGGACAGTTGAAAAACTGCCGCATCATCAACGCCATTTTGACCCCAATTTTTGAGTCATTGCATTGTGCACATGTTTCACTTTAGCAATATGGCCTTAGGGAATTTCAGTAACTCGCAATTTCCCCCGCGGTTTAGCTTACTGAGGTGGGCAGTTTTGTTATAAACATTTCTTCACCAATCGAGTTTATATCCTCAATCCGTAATAAGTTGGCCGTGCGTCCTAGTGCGTCGATGTGTAGCGCACAAACTTGTTATCAGTTTGTCGAAATATATATAGCTTGGATGTGTTTATTGGTGGTTCATCAGATGGCAGTTGATCTGTTCACCGAGCTTGGCAATTGGCTTGCACACGTTTCTTCCCCAGTCGAGGAGACATCGTCAGTCTGCCGTTGAGGGCGCACTTTGTTTCGATTTGTGCTGTTTCTGTGAGAATCTCATATTCAAAGGGTAGCTTAACACAAATGCCTACTAGGCAACTTCAGGCCCGGAAGGTGGTCGTGGCGGCGAGCACTACATTGGAGTGTGATATGAGGCTCCAGTTCCCTCACCTTCTATAAGCTGGCGTCGCAGAATTTTTCACGTCCCCTGGGCTCAAAGATATAGCAAAATACCCGCAGGCCTTGGGTCCTTATTGTGAAATTGGCTGCTCTGCTAACTGTCAATTGTTAGTTGTTTTTGCACTTACAGCGTACATTCTAGAGATGTATTCTTGTTGCCAGAAAACTTAGTTTCAACATATTCCAGGAAACATGCTGTTCCTCTCAGGCAACTGAGGTCTTGCTCCTTTAATAGAGCAAACTCTAGTACGTAGAAATTTTTTGTGACGGATGCATCTAATGAAATTTAACTACTTGCTGAAGTAATGGACGCAAGGGACGTACGAATGTTTATCTTCATTTGTTTCCCACTTTTCCTCAGCACTTTGCTCTGGGTCACTTCGTCACTCAAATGTTTCGTAATAGATAACAGCACATTTCCTGAGGTTATAGCTAAATGGCTTGGATCATATACCTTGATTAAACTATCAAAATCCAGATCGGAATTTGGTTGCCATCACTGTTGAACTGGTTTCCTGGTTGTGCTTATGTTGAGCGGAAGGCTGATGTATATTTCACAATAATTGAATGTGTTATGAACTTTACTGTTGTTCGTTTCATCAACACTATAGCAGTTTGGTTACTGTGACTGGGGACCGCCAATGGATTTTCTACCAGAATAACCCTGGCGCTAGAACGCGTTTAACGGCTCCATTGCCGACCTTTGGTAAGTTATTTTAACCACAACTAGGACTAAAACAAAGCCCACATAACTGCAAACATTTTGCCAAACATTAGGCTTCCCATATTAAAGTCGCAATTCTGACTACCTAAGAGAGTACAATAACCACACTGGAGACATCCATGACACTGCCCTCGCCACTGACCAGAACGCAGCATGCTACGGTCAACTAGTTTTGACTTCTTTTGGCTCGCTTGATGTTAAAACTGGCGAATTTCAAAGCTGGATGAAAAACAGCAAGTTTAGCAGAGTTACCTGCCAACACTCTCCAGATCACTTGCTTAATGTTGCCAAGCGTTGACTCATCCATGTTGCTCACAGTAGACCTCCTGTGTCCTGTCTGAAGAAAATTTTCTAACCATCCTGTTAAACTGGAAATCATGTCTTTGTTTTTATAAAGAAATCAGACTGGCTGTTCCGCATTTTATCAGTTGTAATGTAAGTCTGTATGGTTTCATTGAGAATCAAAGGTCACGCGTAAACCGACTTCATGAGTTTAACAGAAAACTTGACCGCTCGTGATCGAGGTTTTCGTCATCCGATCATGTTAAACATATGGCAATCTGTCGAAACCGTGGATAGGACGTTGTCAGGTTCTTCAGTGAGATTGGTGAACAACCAAGCTCACTATTCAACAGTAATCGATTGGTAAGCAGCTGATCGGATAAAAATCACACCTGAGCAAACTGGTCGACGGACGAGTGATTGAGAAATCACAGTCTGAATTTGTTAATTGAATGGTCACGTGTTTGAGGCCACAATACCCACCTAATGAGTTTAGCTAAATAAGAAAGCCGTCGTTTTGGTAGATTTTAGCCTCTCAGCCGTATGCACTTCCGGCTTTATGAAGTGAACTCGCCATAGATTATGAGAAGATTTTAAGGCATCACTTGTGAACTGAACCCTGATAGCGAAACGAATAAATGCCAGAAAGCCTAGAAGAAATTAAACTAACCGTTCACCTGTGACACCGTTTCGATGCCTAGCTGCCATGCCACCAGGGGGAAGCACGAGGGCTGAGATACTGCCTGATTGCTCAAGCCTAGACAGGGGAAATCGAGAGGCAGAGGTCGGGTTAAACCACGAACCTTCTGGTCAGCAAATATGCGCCCTAACCACTTGAGTTATCTCGCCTAGAAGGAAAGGAAATATCAAAAAACCTCGTGACCCATCCTGTGAGAAAACCTGATAAAGCGGCAGCATATCAGAACTTCACCTGCTGAAGTGAACTTCCTGACTGAACTTTGTTCATCACTATATATACATATATATATGTACATTTATATATATAATCCTTGCAATACTGCAAATTCGCTTGTATTTTGCGAACTCCTTATGGAGAAAATCTGTAAAATTTGACCACCGACCCTATCTTGTCGGTGTAGCGTTGAGCCCAAATTTCTGTACCCTTGATTAATTTCGGTTTCGCACGAACAGAATGTTATCCCTGATACCCGGAGACAAAACCTATAAAATGGGATTGCTGTTGTGATTTGTTCATCTGTCTTTATTCGCTTGTTCGTCATTTATCCGGAATGTGCTACCTTAAACGCCTCAATTGCGCATGGGTACTGTTCATAGTATTGGCCTGGCGATGTCGTGATTCTAGTGCCCGAAATATCCTGCATTGTGGTAAAATTTAGTTTTCTTTTCTGGACACACTCATGAAGAACATCCAAGCTGAATAAAAACCCATTAAAACCCATTTCAACAGCGGTTGATCCCACATTTGGCAGTTGTTTTGACCACCAGTAAACCTTATTCCTGAATATTTGCCCAAAGGTTTGCGTAGCCTTAAGTTGAACACAGCATCACCGAAAATCGCTGTGCATCCATGGAAAGACTTTTAGATGTATTATCTGTTCGCAACCCAGAGTATATGAATGATATCCTGTCGGAAGTCCGAAGCTTCTTGTCGAAAAAGTATCTCACCTTGGACCAACGGTGTGGCATATAGACTAATCTGAAAATGGACATTTCCCAGAAAACTCATCTTTTACAAAAACCCAACATCTGCAACTACACTTTTCCCGTTATTCATTTACAAACTTCCTTTAAGTACCCACTGTCAATAATATAATTTAGCGTGGTTAAATTATTACTTCATCCATACTATCGAAAGTCCTCACGTGACTGTGGCACCAGATAGAGATTTGATCCACTCCTTCATTGCATATAAGTGCACCAGATGAACAGCACGAAAGAGTACAAACACCTTTAAGGCCACAAAACGTGGTGCACGATTGTCTACCACGTGTAAAAATGAAATAGTTCATTCACAACTCAAATAAAACTGGAGCTTTTTTTGACTGTTCAGGGACAATTATTCAGGTGCACACAATGTTTGTGTTTTGAAATGATGGTAAAGTGACGGACCTTTTTCATGTCCGACTTTTGTGATTTCAATCTAAACAGAGCTCGCTGATTCTCATCAGGCCGAAATTTGAGAAATCTGGCATCTACTTGCGTGTAATATAACACTTGATTTACTATGACGCAACTGCAAGAGGATTCAGTGGACAATCTGAAGATTATATACCAAACAACACGTTACCTGCTCTCACTGCACTGAGCGGTCCAACGTAGTTGTATTTTGACGAAGTATGTGGCATTTTAGGTGACCGACACTAATGTTTTTTGTGGAAAGTGAAAAGATGATCACTTATGCCTGAAGTTCAGCAAGGATGTTAAGTCAGTTCATTTGTAAACTAAATTTTGGGAACTTAGGTTGTGTATGTATCAATTTCCGTTTGTCTTTGTGTCTTCTCGCCAATGTGGGCGGTGCTGCCTCTGCCCGGCTTAAAGATGCCATTAAAAATGAACGTGCAATGTATACTCAATTAAATGGCACAATATTCAACTCGCCAAACAATTTTCCAAAATATTATTTCATCCAGATTGATAATCTATGGGAAGTGTCTTGTCATGCGCCTAAATCAATACCTAACTGAAGTCTTTGTATTTATTATTTTCGCGACAAAACGTCACCAGTGAAACCTCTCAGCATCAATAATAATGCAAGTAATAATGATGATCAGACATGTCAGTAGCCACCATCTTTCTTTCTTTTTTAGAGACACCCTGGCCGAAATCCCACCTGCCTCTTATTTAGCGCCTATTGATTTAGCATTCACAAATTGTCAACTGGAAATCCAACAAACTATTTTGTATAATAAATCTCTTTCGGAAAATTCATGTGACTGTTTCTGATACCGGTTGAAAATAAGTAGTCCCGATTTGCAAAAATCTGGCTTCAAAAATATTTCGTGGCTCCATAGAAGGTCCCACTGAATTGCGTCGAAGGAATGTTTCGTACTCTACCCTCCAACACCGTCAAACTTCCAAAGGTCAAAACAACCCTGTAGCCAGTCTGCACATATTATAGGGTGCATCGTGTAACTAATCCTGCAGCACTGATCAAAGCATTCATATACTCTAGATAAAAAGGTTTGTTCATTGATCGAGTATCCCATGTGCACTTTTACCGAGTGAGCGGAGGAGTCAGTCACTG